TCGCACTCAGAGGCTTGCTATGTGAAAGGGGTCACCAGTACAAAAGTTTGAGAACCACTGATGAAAATATAAAATGTGCTTTGAATCTCTCTTCTGCACTGAGGTCAGTGCACATTTTTTACCCATTTGTCTGTTTCTCTCCAGGCCCATAGCTGACAACTAAGTCCACAACCTTTTCCTACTGTCAGTTCTGCTTCTGCAAGTGACTTCTTTCATGCTTCATGCAAATTAAACCCCTTCACAATCCACGCGGGGGTAGGGTCCCAGAACTTGGGCTCCTGCTAGAGCCTGAACTTCTATGTCGCAATTAAACAGCCCCATAGCCCGAGCCCTGCAAACCTGAGGCAGCTGAGATGGGCCAGGCACGGGTGTTTAATAGCAGTGTAGACATACCCTCTGAGTACATTTCCCAGACCTGAAGAAGAGCTCTGTCTAAGCTTGAAAGCTTGTCTCTCATCAACAGAAGTTGGTCCAATAAAAGATATTACTCCCCCACCTTGTCTCTCTAATACCTTGGGACCAACCTGGCTACAACACCACTGGATACTGGGGGGGGGAAAGGGAGATCTGGTCACTTAAGCCCATGGTACACCTCTCAGAGGTTACACTTAGGAAGAGTTAGTCCTGGCATTCTGCACAGGAGACCCTAGGGGCAATGGCAAGCACAGTCTCCCTGTGCGCCCTTCCTCTAGCAGCTGCCAGAATGTAACCATCTGTATTCTGTTGTTTCTAATGCATTATATTGTGAGTGCATCGGTTATGTGTGTGTACGTGTACACACACACACTCTCTCTCTCTCTCTGTAACACAGAACACTGTGTTCAAGCTTTTCATGTATTGTGTTTACTCATTCTTATTAACCACTGAGACATTGTAAATAAAATATGGATTTTCACCATACTGAGGACAAAAAGCTAGTTCAGCCATCAAAGTGAACCCAGCTGAGCTATGCTTAATAACTTGCACTTCTGTTATCCCTCCAAATGCAATCCAGCTTCTTCAGTATCATTTGCTTAAAAAATGGTCTTGCTTTTCCACGCACTTTCACTGCTCCTGTTCTTGTTTATAATCTGTTTTCTTGTATGCTGTCATTTTTGCCTGTGAAAAATACTAAACCAAATACTTAACTGGATTTCCCCCCCCTCTTTCAGCTTCACAGTAGGATATCATCCAGACTGTATTCCTGGATTATTGGTTTATAAAATATTGACAAACACCAGGAAGATGTAGCATATGAGAGTCTAAGACATGCATGTGCATAATCCCTTTGATTTCATTGCCTTACATATTATTTCTTGAAACATCAATTTAAAAAACACGTGGAGAGCTACCTCTTACACAAGAAATCACTTGACCCTGGAGTGCTTCCAATTTACCGCCCAGTATTAATTAGTTAATCTTTGTAAAGGGACTTTAACTATGTAAAGTACTATTTGAGTGCTAAGCACATGATCCTCAATCTAATTTGTTTGCAACCACTTCTTCATTACCTACACAGTCTTTAGGAGGCTGAGCAAAGGAGAAAAATTCCTCAGTTTAAATTTTAAAAATAAATGTAAACACAACAATTAATTGAAAAATAATACAACATGGTGGAGATAAATCTGAGAGAACCATTTTATCCTCTTCAGGCAGTTCCAAATCTGAAATTGCTTCCTTACTTTTATTGGTCTTTGATTTTTTTCTTTTATCTTCCTCTGCCTTGTTCTTCTCTCTTTCTTGATCTTAAACCTTCCCTCTTCCAAATCCACTCCTTGTCTTAAAAAGAACCTTGTGACAGGGCCGCCTGGGGGGGTGGTGGGCAAGTGGGGTAATTTGCCCCAGGCCGTGGGCCCCGCAGGGGCCCCCACGAGAGTTTTTCGGGGCCCCTGGAGCGGGGTCCTTCATGTGCTCCAGGGGCCCCGGAAAACTCTCGCGGGGCCCGGGCCCCCTGAGCTTCTTCCGCTCTGGGTCTTCGGTGGCAGTTCGGCGGCGGGGGCCCCCTGCCGCCGAAGACCCAAGGCCCCCTGAATCCTCTGGGTGGCCCTACCTTGTGAAGCTGTGGAGTCACTTAGGGTTAGATTCTGACACCCTTCCATTGAACAGGATACCTCACTCCATGAACAGTCCCATTGATTTTCAAGGGGACTGCTCAAAGAGAAAGGATTACTCTGCATAGGGGTGTCAGAATCTAGCCCATATAGAACCACCAGGACCAAAGCCAGCCCAGATATAGCACAAGGTAATTGAGGAAAACGGAAATGCAACCATTTGTACCTCAGCTGAATTTCACTCAACAGATTTTAGCATGTCCCTCTGTTTCCTGCAGTGTTGTAGCTATATCAGTCCCAGGATATTAGAGGTACAAGGTGAGTGAAGTAATATCTTTTACTGGATAAAGCTTGTCTCTCTCACCAACAGAAGTTGGTCCAATAAAAGATATTACCTCACCCACCTTGTCCCGCTGTTTCCGGAAACTCATTGTTCTAAACCTGGGTAACCAACTTCAGGGGCTTCATTTCAGATTTCAGTAGGGGAGGGGGCAACTTTCAGTGGGGGTCAAGGGACTGCTTAGTTCCCTCGAAACTCTTGGATAAAATGTAAAAATCCATAATTAGGCTGTCCCCGTCACAGAGGGGAGAGACCTCATTGTCCTTTTCCTGGAAAAACTGACACTCTGTAGTAGAAGACATCAGCCCCCAATCCACTACTGGGCTGGAGCATTGCAGTGCAGCACAGGGGGGCTGGGACCAGTCATGCCCTATAATCTGTAGGCTGCAGGGGAAATGTTGGCTTTGTTTATGGAGGTGATTGGGCTCCTCTCAGCCATGGTACCCTGAGCCAGCCCTCTCACCATGCCCACAACAGAGGAGTCCTGCCTACATCCATTAAACTGAGCACTTTCCACTTGTCACACATGAGACAGAAGATCCATGTCAGATCATCTGCTTCATTGATTCCCTAGCAACCAATATTTCTGGCCACAAATTTGCAAGTCACAGCTTCTGGCCCCAAGTGCTGGGGCCAGTCAGTGGCAATGGAGTGTGGCAGCGGATGAGGTTGGAGCAGAGCTGCAGTCAGACAGGTGGGTCCCTGCAGCTGGGCTGCGTAGGTTGGGGAGTGGAGGCTTCAGGTTGCCCATGGGGCTCCAAACACCAAAGGTTTCAGAGAGCAGAGCCGGTCTCTGGATCTGGTGTCTGAGTTGTTCACACATGGTAACTGCTCACACATTTCAACTCTCCCTCCCCCATCTCCCCACCCTACCTAAATGATGCCCCTGACCAAATTCCTGTTAAGCTCTCCATACCTATTCCTGCCTTTATAAGCAATATTCTTCTTTATATTTATATTTTTTAAACTGTACTTCATTTGTTCCAGTTCCCTCAAGCATTCCAGAAAAGCTCCTTACTACTCAAGAACAGCAAATGTTGCACATCTTGTGACAATGGTATTTATGCCATGTCCTTAGATGGCATTCAGCCTGGCTCCTCTTTTCTTTTTTCCCCATTGGTTTTATCCTTTATCAAGTCCATTTTTACTGATGGGTCTGGTTTGTGTTTTCTTTCATGCCAAATAAACTGAAATCAGCACTTCCTTGCTGACTCCTGAGGTCTTAAACATGGTAGGAAACTATTTTATTCAGGCAGCTTGCTAAATTTCAACTCTCATGAGTAGCAGTTACTCAACGCTCTCGCTCAAGATTTTGATCATTTTAAATGTGTATTTGCAATTCATTTATATCACAATTGGTGATTTCTACAACTCTCTCCTTTTTTAAAATTTCAATCTTGTTTCCAATGTGTTGGGCATTTACCTTATTTAGTTCAAAGGAAACAGGTATATAGAGGAGACTGTTCTTGATTGCAACTTTATTCACTGCATTCACACAAGTAGAGTAGTAGCCCTGCCTGGAATCTGGCATCAAAATAGTGCTAGCTAGAGATTGCTTCTGGCACTATAGTAATATTCATAACAAGAGACCCGAGAGATGGATACTCAGGAGAGGTGAAAAAGAAGCTAGGCATGGGGAAGCTGCAGGCCATGAGAGGGGTGGGTGGAAAATCAGGGATGTGAAATTGGGACAATTTCTAAAGACAGCACGGTGCTACACAACCATATATAGTTGTCTTCTGCCCTCCCCGCAATGATCAAATACCTTTGCAGGAGAGTGTGTGTATGTATATTCGTTTGTGTGTGTGTGTTCACATAGATACACAGAGGTGGATGATACATGTTACCAGCAACTCAAGGTTATATAAACAGGGATTCCAGATTCCCAAAAATATAGGAGGAAGATTTTTAGGCAGGAACATACCACAAAAAAAATTCCAATTTAACAAAACTATTGGTGACTTCCACCATATTTCCAGCTGGTGACTATTGGTTTGGCTGAAAAGCCAGGCCCCCTTACAGGACTGTTTAATGGAAAGTGCAGCATATCTTGGAAGGCAGCTTGGACAGTGGACAGGAGTACATGTGGTATGGGCAGGAGTGCGTGAGGGCAGGTCTATAAGAAGCTGCAAAGAACTTGGTTTCTCTCTCTCCTCACATATTGGTTCCATATTGGATTGCTCTGTACACCAGTTTACAGAACCACATCCCTTCCTCTGCTAGATGGCATGTCGCAAGGTCCAAAAGGTGGTGCTCAGATGTTGGAGGAGGTGGGGCTGCCTACAAGCTGAAACCTGGCTTGCTTGAGGTGGGTTCCCATGTGACTTATCTAATTTAGCAAAGTCTGAGTTAGCAACATTTTGCCAAAATGATGGCAGTGCAGGCAGGATCCAGCAAGACCTCATGAACGATCCAGGATTCTTGCTCCCTCTAACACTGGAGTGTAAAAGGAGAGAAAACCCCCACCGCTCTCCAGAGATCCCTTTAATATTAACTAATCAATGGATCAGCTGCCAATAAATTATTATTGTAATAAAAACGTGGTATGTTCTGGTTGCATGGAAGATGCTCTCTCTGCCCCCAACACACCAGAGCAGCTCCATCCCAACACATCTTGGAATGCTGCAGAATCACCGGGTCACTGGTGTAACATAGTTGGAAGGGAAGAGACCCAATTTGCCACGCAGGCGCCCTTTCCACCAACACGGGTTAGAGTTGTCCAGGACTTCTACGATGTCTCCACTGCGGAATCCTAGCTCATCACACTCCAATGCCTCAAAGTCATACAGGGCTTGGACCCATAGTGTTTGCTGAGGAGGAGGAGACAGGAGAGGTCAGACACAATTCTTATGAATCTCCCCCACAACACGAACCAAAAAGAGCAAGAAATGCAACGCTGGGATATGAAACCATGATACCCAGTATGGAATTCAATGGAAGAGCCATCAGGACCCCAGAAAGTAGAGCCTGAATAAGAGAGACACCTGAGGGTAGGTTCAAGTTGTCAGGAACCCCCAGTATCCCTCTCAATATATTCACTCCCCAAAGTAGAACTCAAGTGGCTGGGGCATATAGGAATGGAGCACACGCCGCGGAAACTCCTTCTAAAGTGACAGGGATGTGCAACATCACATCAGGTATAATACACTGTTCCTCCTCCTGACCTCTCCCAGAGAATAGTAAACCTCCTAGCCTCTATAGTGGTTTCCTTGAGAGAAGGGATCAGGTAGATGACAGGAGCATATAATGCAAACCACCTACCTGTGATTGTTGAAATGATGGTTCTGTTTGTCTCCGGTACATGGATGCTGCACTCCCTTCTCCATGGTCTCTGAGGCGATGAAGCCCATCCTTTCTGTCCAGGCTCCCACCACCTCTGTCCTAGAAAGTGAGGTGCAAGAGAAGAGCCATTAATATACTCCGATGTGCAACTGGACTGGGGTGGGGATTCAGTTACTGGGGACCAGGGTTTCAGGATCCAGCCAGTGCATATGTCACCTAATGCCTCCAAGTAATTTCTTGTCTCCATTTATTAGGTCTTTGTTTCCCAGGTGTTCATTGGGCTGCAAGCAACACACCTAACAGGAAAGGACTCCTTAGTCTGTGCCCTTTGGTTTGGACCAAGAATCTCAAGCTGGGCAGTTGGGTACAGCTTCCCAATTTCCTTTCTCAGTACCTAGCATTTCAAATGCCCCTTTGGTCATGCCTGCACCTTAGTCAGCCTAAAAGGTCAGTGTGACTGGATTCCACTTTGCATGTCAATTGTCCCTGACTGGAAGTGTCAGAGTGAGTCAAACTCAGAGACACAGGATTCATTTTTTTTTTTGGGGTATACTTTTCTCTTACAAGTATTTCTGCTCTGTATCAAATATGACTCATGGACAGATTTGTCACAAAGGGCCCAGGCTCCAATCTTGTGACAAGTTGTATTATTCTACCAACAGTCCACTTCTTATATAACGTTGCTCCTGAATGATGGGGTATAGAACTGGCCACTCCCAGAGTGTCCTTGGCCCTCCTCTATTGGGACTCTCTTGCCATATGAGGCTTGGTTTTGGATCTCTTCCCCTAGTGGGACCAGTCTTCTCCTCAGATGAGGCCAATACTGTTGCAGCATCTCCTGCTACAGACAGGAGGCAGCCCCTCCTCCCCATGGTAGCCATTTCCCACCCAAATTAATATGGAACAATTGTAGAGGCAGCACCATGCACTGCTCTTTCCTCCCATCCCTACAATAAGAGCATTTTTTGCATGCACCTTCACCATCTCTGCCCAGCCCCAGGACTGAAGGATGACACTCCGGGAGCTCCCAGCAGAGAAAGAGAGAACCCAGGACTCACATCAGAAACAGGGAGCATGTGGAATGTGCTCAAAGAAACCAAACTTTCCCAATAGTAATCAACTCATTTCCCATTCCCAACATGCACCATGGTGCCGAATCTTATCACCACAACACAGCAAAAGAAACGGGCTGCACAGTTGGGCTTGTCCTAGAGACTTCAGAGGCATTCCTAGATAGGTGTGTGGGTGAGTGTTGATCTGTGCTCCCAATATGACTTTCAGTCTTGTCCCAAGCGCAACATTTTGCCATACTTGGCCATTCTTGCAAGACTGGGTTTGCTGTTCCCAGCCCTCCAGTTAGAGTGTCACTTGCCTGTTGAGTTAGGATTTTTGCAGGTCCATCCCATAAACTCTGATATTAGAGGACAAAATAGAAGTTCACATATTTATTTCAGTCCACCAGATGTCACCATGCTGACACTATACATTGATGCTACATCACAATGTGAAGAAGCAGTCATGGCGATGCACTTAAACAATTAGGTAAACAGCCCGGCTCCTAGTGAGCAGAGACCAGCGTGTTCTGCAGCCCAGGCTCATCCCAGCTAACTCCTCTTTCCCAGTGATACCTGTTGCTGCTGCTGCTGCAGGGGTGGTGAGGGATCTGCATATCTCTTGGACATTGATGCTCGGATTTCTCCAGCTGCTCCACTCAGGCGGAGTCCTTCCTGTGCCCCCCGTTCCAGGCTCCCACCACGCCTCTCCTGGGGAGGGGAGAATGATAAAGGTCGGGCCAGGTCTGCTTCCCACAATGCCCTTGCTGGTATTCTGGCAATCAGTACTCTGTCCCTTTCCCTCCCCAGATCTCTGTCCTCCCACTACTCTCCCTAATCCTAGGGCCTATGCAAAGGAGGACTCCTGCTCCTCTGAACAAATTGACAAATCTAGGATCCTGGATTCACCACAGCCACTCCCCCTCAGAAGTGCAAGTGGGGATTTGGGGCTGTGAGCCCAAATACATGGATGGGTTTGGAGCCTGCATTTGTCCCCTCACTACACACACAAGGTGAGTTGGGCCCCAATGTTCTCTCCAGTAAACAATCATGTGTGGCTGAGGCATTTTACAGAAAGAGAAGAGCATGTCTGGGGCCTATTTACCCACTGTAAATAAGAGTGGTTGTGAGACCTTGTGTTTAGTTAACTGCCCAGACCCACACTTTCAAGGGCTCAGCACCCACAATGACGCCTGATTTTCGGTAGAGCTCAGCATCCAACATGCACCCCAAGAGCTGAGCTCTTTTGAAAACTCTGGCCTCAGACTTAATTTATCTCTGCACCTGGCTCTACTTATTAATTATTATTATAATTGCTGTAGTGCCTATGAGTCCCAGTCGTGGCCCAAGACCCCATGGTGCTAGGCGCTGTACAAACCCTCATCACCACAGCCATGGAGTGGAGCATTGGCTGCAACCTCCCCTCCCCTATTCTTTCATTTACCTGTCTACATCTTGGCACAAATATCATCCCCCTTCCTCCCTCTCCCTGCTCTGAGCCACCTTCAACAGATTGTTTTACTAATACAATATCTCCTGCCCTGTGCAGACTTCCTCTGCTGTCAGCTCTCTCCTATATGTGGCCTCCCTTACAGCTACGTAATGCTTTAAAAAAAAGCCAGATAAGTGGTCTAGAAGGAGTCAACAACACAGAACCCTTTATCAGATTGAAAAACCCTATGGCCCTTTTGGAGCTGAAAAGAATGTCCCACATGGAGCTGATAAAACTTTATTGCCACAATGAACAAGTCATGTATTTTCTGCCTTGTCTCTAACCACACATCCTGGTAATTTAATACCAGAGTCCGCTTCCTGGTTAAGCAGTGCTTCAGTTACTGTAGTTACCATGTGTTTTCTCTCTCTTTCTCAGCATTGTGTGTGCAATGGCTGGCAGCCTGTGCTGCGTCATTCCCTCATTTTCCTGGCACAGAACCACCAAATGGGCATTCGGTGAACAGGGATTTCCCTGCTTCCACAAACATCTTTTGCTGCTTCTTCCTTGAACTCACAAACTGTGCTCACATCTCTGGAATTCTGGGACAACTTTATGCCCCTTTTTTGCCACCCCTTCTACATCCTGTCCCCAATTCCTCCACAATACTCTGCTATGTTCTGTAACTAATAAGAGAGAAGCAATTCCTCAATGCAGCCAAACTTTCAGCTATAACAGTGACAGCACCCAAAGTCCATTCAAGGAGGCAAAGAAACCAAATTCAATTTTTTCTCTTAATTCTGCCAATAAACTCAGTTTGCCCTGTGATCCCCTTCCTGTTCTATCCCTGAGCCCCTAAACACATCAGTGTTCCTGCAGCTATTCTGTACCACCCCTTCCTAAAGCTAGACCTGGCTCCCCTTATTCATGCTGATGCACCTCAATCCTGACCTGCAGCATGTCCTGCAGTTCCAGTCCTTGGGCCCCTACACAGCTCTGGCAAAGCCTCTCAGTCCTGATTTGCAGCATTCCCTGCTGCGACTTCAGCTTGTCGTAAATGGAGACAGCGAATCTCATTAAGTTACATAATGTGTTTATGATGCAATCAATCAAAAATCTAGGCTGAGAGGCCCTCCAATCTAGAGACCTGACTGGGATTCTACTGAAGGTCCCCAGAGGCAACATTCTAGCACTAAATTCATCCCATGAGATGGCTTTCTCCACTTGTGTTTTTCAGGGATGGTTTGAGAACCCTGGGCATACCTTCTCTTCTTGGCTCCCATCTCTCAGGAATATCAGCTTCTGCCTGGAGATAGAGGAGGTCTTATAGTACTCCACCAATTTGTTTAGTGACTGGAATTTCTCTGTCCATAAGTAGTAGTTGCCCTTTGTATCCCGCATCACCCTGAAGTGCTGGACATCATCCTCATGCCTGTGATCAAGGGGAGAAATGAACATCAGATGATAATTTTACTTTCCTCAAATACCTTTAATCCAAAAGCCCTTTGCAGACTCTGGACCAAATTTGGACTTGTGGAAAGTGAAGTCAGTGGCATTGCACCTGGATACACTGGATCTGAACGTAACCCTGTATGTAAAGGAATCACTCACCAACCAGAAAAATGCAGCTGCCTTGAGGATGCATGGCCAAATGGGAGAATCAGTACAGGGCACTGGGGCTCAGACCTTTACTTTCAAAATAAGGGTCATGGGATCTTTTATGACCACAAATGGTTAGAAGCTTCATTCTGCACCTTATTTAAAAGAGAGTAAGGCAGCAGCACGGGTGCCCGTTAACAAGTGGACCTGTGTTGGCTCTAAGCAAAGAGCGCCACCAGATTATAACCTTACCTGAGGTATTTTTCCTCAGGTTAATCCCTAGACAAGATGGGGCGAAGGACTGAGATTTACCCCTTCATACTTGTTGCATAACGTCCACCAGCACCCAATGGAACAACGGATTCCCTCTGAAGAACCGTCTGCAGTCCCAGTGCCATGCAGGGCCATGCTGGGTTCACGCAGGAGGGGGCAGTGTTGGGTTTGAAACAAAGGCTGAGAATGGCTGGACTAGAATAAGTGGCTGAAAAGGGAAACAAGCATAGGGAGTAAGAGGCCCAGGGGGCTGGGAAATGGAGTCTTTTTGATTTATTAGTCAATGTTCATACAGCATTTCAGTATTCAAAGTGCTACATAAATGCTAAGGATTTTTATTATCATAATTGTTAAGCTGCTGGTTCCTGTGCAATTTGGTCAACAGCGATTGAAAGCCATTCCTGTCTGGTGGCTGCTCAGTGGCCTATGTGAAATAAATTAATGGTGCAAGTCACCTCCTAATGGATATTAAACAGCATTCTTGGCCAGTAACTAAAGCCATTAGGCAAAAAAACAAACAAAAAACAAACAAAAAAAACCATACCTGAAAGGCACACGTTTTGCATGGTGGGAGATGGCCCACAGAATGCGCTCTGCTCTGCTTCAGAAGGAGCAGGACAGCTGGGGTTGTGATTTTGGGATGGGGTATTTGCTGTGTCACTTTAATGGAAAAAGAAACATCCGAGAAGCAGATGCCTCACTTGTTCCCATTGACTGGCACCACACAAGCTTCCCAAGGCACTGCCATCCTGTCAAGGGGAGGCTAGGGACAGCAGCATTAACCAGAAACAGCAGAAAGATACTGTAAGTAGCAGGTACCTGACAGAGATGGAGAAGTCACCAGGGGAGTTCTGGCTGGCTCGGATGATGAAAGAGCCGACTTCCTTGCTCATGAGTAAGTTCTCTGCCTCATGGCGGGATATCCCTTCATTAAACCAGCTGTCAAGGGGAATAAATCACATGCATGTGAATAAGGAAATGGATTAGAGAAAAAGAAGGTAAGAGATGAGAGGAGGGTTCGGAATGAGCAGAGGTAGGAGAAGGAGAAGGGAAAGGGACTAGAGGGTTAGGTAGGATTGTCTCCTGCTAACAATGCATGTTCTCGAAGTATGGTGCATAGAAACAGAGATGGAGAAAATGGCCCTTTATGAAGACCAACTTCCTTCCCCCTTCCCCTTTCCAGTGTCCAGCCTGAACAACTTTCAAAATGAGGAGCTGCTGCTGCTCAGAAAAGGATCAAAGTGGAAATGTTTCAGCCCAGCTATTACATACTCTGTGTGTGTGAGAGGGAAAGGTTAATGAAGACGTAATTTTTATGTGAGATGCATAATGAACGGGCTGATTCCACTGCTCCAAGTGTGCCAGGGAAAAGCTGCTAGCGTAACACCCTGGGGGCACCTCAGCAAACCCTGTACATGCAGCATGGAAGGAGAGAACTTTGGCGCCAAAAATACAGGCCTGTATTTGCTTGTTGAGCTAACAGAGCAAGTCCCACAGCTCAACCAGTAGATGGAATTCACACATAATGACATACATACAGTATCACCACTCTCAGGATTTTTTCCACCAGCGACATAATTTTGTCTGGGGCTGGAGGAGCCAGTCTGGCAACGACCTTGCGTGAATTTAAGCCCTCCAACTGGCTGCCTGCCCCACTTGCCTGCCTCCTGGTACTGAGCAAGCAATCAAAGCTACTACAGGAAGAGCTACCCCCCACCCCATAGCAATATGAAGCCATTCTCACAGGAGGGGAGGGGAGAGGAGGGAGCAGAAGCAGGGCCGGCTCCAGGCACCAGTGCAGCAAGCAGGTGCTTGGGGCGGCCAATGGAAAGGGGCGGCACGTCCGGCTCTTCGGTGGCAATTTGGCGGCGGGTCCCTCAGTCCCTCTCGGAGGGAAGGACCTGCCACCGAAGAATGAAGCGGCGGGGTAGAGCTGCCGCCGAAGTGCCGCCGATCGCGCCTTTTTTTCCCCCCGCTGCTTGGGGCGGCAAAAACGCTGGAGCCGGCCCTGAGCAGAAGCCCCGAGCAGTTCCGGATGGTGCCACTCCTTCCTCTTCCCAGCCCTCCTGTAAGCAACTGGCACAGGATAGCGCTTCTGCTCCTCCCCCGTTTCCCCTGCCACCGCCAGCCTGGTAACAGCAGAAAGGGCATAGGGGAGCGACAACCCTGCGGCAGACCCCCAGACCTGGGAGAAGGGGGCGAAGAACACCAGGAGGAGAAGAAGTGAGGCTGGGGGGCTGAACTGACAAGGTGTGGGTCTGGAGGGGCTGAACAGAGGAGATCTGAATTGATGGGGGTGGGGGCGGAATTGCTGGGCAGTGGATGGGCAGATATGGAGGTGAGAGCTCCTGCAGCAGGGCCAAAATCACCTTATCTAATCCATTTGGGAGCATGGGCAACATTAATTGTCTCACACACCCTGGGGATGGGCAGGGGGAGTTCAGAAATCAAAGACAGACCAAAACACACAACTTTTGGGCCAATCTCATGATTTTTGGAGGGATCTGACTCGTGATTTTTCTCTTGAGACTGGCAATACTGTAGGTCTTCTAAATTCCATCCAACAGGGGGCAGTGGCACACAGGCATTCCCAGAGAGAACAATCCCTCCAGTACCTACAGGAGCAGCTCTTCTAACATCTGCCCCAGGGTAATAATATGCAAATAATCAGGGCCGGCTTTATGACCCGCGGGGCCCGATTCCAATATCCGGTGGCGGTCCGGGTCTTCAGAGGCACTTCGCGGCGGGGGGCACCGAAGGACCCCCCGCTGCTGAAATGCCGCCGAAGACCCCCGGAGCAGGGCCCTCTTAGGCGCGGGGCCCGATTCCGAGGAATTGGGTGAATCGGCTTAAAGCCGGCCCTGCAAATAATAATAATAAAAAAAATCTTAGTTGGCAATATACTAGGCAGTGTAGGAAAAAGCCCCCAGCATCCTCTCTCCTGCAATGCTGCTGCAGCACTTTGGAAGAAGGAGGGATGAGGGGCCTGTAGCTTCAGGTAGGATTTCTGTGAATCTAAAGAGAAGGATTGTAAATCCGTTGCACAGTAGTATTTAGCATGTCAGGCTAGTGCATTTTGCTATGCATTTAGATTCACAGAAATCCTTCCTCAAACTGCAGTCCTCTCCATCCTGCTCCTCTTCAATTTGCTGCAGCATCAGTGGTTTGAGCATTGGCCTGCTAAACCCAGGGTTGTGAGTTCAATCCTTGAGGGGGTCATTTAGGGAACTGGGGTAAAAATCTGTCTGGGGATTAGTCCTGCCTTGAGCAGCAGGTTGGACTAGATGACCTCCTGAGGTCCCTTCCAACCCTGACATACTATGAATCACAGTGGAGAGCAATGTGGGAAAGACCTCTCTCTCAAAAAGCAACAGAGGGTCCTGTGGCACCTTTAAGACTAACAGAAGTATTGGGAGCATAAGCTTTCGTGGGTAAGAACCTCACTTCTTCAGATGCAAGACCTCTCTCTCAGTGATCTAGAGCAAGCAGGGGTCTTCAAAGGAGCAGGAAGACTTGACAAGGCGGGGATGACATGTGCCTGGTCTATCATCACTGACAATCAAGGTTTAGACAATAGACATTGCTTTTCATGTAGCATCACACTGACCTCTAGTGGATAGAATGAAACTCACATATGTGGGGGCTGGGTATTAACAACAGGGCTTAGAGCAGGGGTGGGCAAACTATGGCCCGCGGGCCACATCTGTCCTGCGGGACCGTCCTACCGTGCCCCCGAGCTCCTGGCCCAGGAGGCTCGCCCCCGGCCCCTCCCCTGCTGTCCCCCCTCCCCCACAGCCTCAGCTTGCTTGCTCCGCCGCCGGCGCAATGCTCTGGGAGGTGGGGCTGTGAGCTCCTGGGACAGCGCAGCTGCAAAGCCCGGCCTGACCCGGTGTCTGTGCTGCGCAGTGGCGGCGGCAGTGGCATGACCCGGCTCCAGCTGGGCAGCGTGGCTGTTATGCCGCCAGCCACCGGTGCTCCAGGCAGCGCGGTAAGGGAGCAGGGGGGGTTGGATAGAGGGCAGGGGAATTTGGGGTGGTGGTCAGGGGGTGGGGCAGTGGGGGGGGG